TGGGCAAAGACACTTCTTAAAAAAAGACATTTATGTGGCCAACAAACATTAAAAAAGCTCAACATCACTGATTATTAGAGAAATGCAAATCAAAACCAAAATTAGATAAAATTTCATGCCAGTCAGAATGTCGATTATTAAAAAGTCAAGAAACAATAGATGCTATCAAGGCTACAGAGAAATAAGAACACTTTACATTGTTGGTGGTAAATTAGCTCAACCATTATGAAAGACAGTGTGGTGATTCTTCAAAGGTCTAGAACCAGAAATACCATTTGACCCAGCAATTCCATTACTGGGTATATACCCAAAAGAATATAAATCATCCTACTATAAAGACACATGCACATGTATGTTTATTGGAGCTCTATTTACAATAGCAAAGACATGAAATCAACCCAAATGTCCACCAATGATAGACTGGAAAAAGAAAATGTGGTACATATACACCATGGAATGCTATGCAGCCACAAAGACAAATGAAATCATGTCCTTTGCAGGGACATGGATGAAGCTAGAAGCCATCATCCTCTGCAAACTAACACAGGAACAGAAAACCAAACAAGACATGATCTCACACATAAGTGGGAGTTGAACAATGAGAACACATGGACACAGGAAGGGGAACAACAGACAGCAGAGCCTGTTGGGGGTTGGAAATCGAGTGGAGGGAATCTAGGGGACAGGTCAGTAAGTGCAGCAAGCCCCCATGACACATGTATACCTATGTAACACACCTGCACATTCTGCACCTGTATCCTGAAACTTAAAGTAAAATAATAAATAAATAAGTAAATAAATAAGTAAACCTCTGCATGAAGTGTATCTTATAATATATTGTGTATCTGTGTTGTTCCTTTTAAAATGTAGTCACTCATTTTTAAAAACATATTTATGCATAGTCTTATTCAGGATGAATTTTGATGATTATAAAAATCAACTTTAATAATATATAGCTTATATATATTTAATATTTATTAAAAATAAACACATCTATTTTTTGAGCCTCTAAATTTGTTGTTGCCCTTCATGTAATATTCCCTCAGTCTCTAGAATTCTCTCTCCTTTTCACAAGTATATGGTAGAGGAATTAAGGATGGAGAAGAGTTTAACAAGTCAAGCCATCCTTCTCTTATTCTACTTTTCTCTGCCTGCTTACGAATAATTTCTTTCTTATTTACTTTTGAAATATTTATAATGCAGATGTCTATATTGTAATTCCCTTATTACGTTGGAAAGGGTGTTGCTGGAATATGTCTTTGTGTATGTTATTAAGAAAATATTGTTGAACTTCATTTGATAAAGCTTAATTAGTTGCATGTGTGTTGTGAGAAAAAGAATAGGTATTATTTCATTCTAATTAATTTTATCTCAACATGATTATAGAATTGTGATCTCCAAGACTTGAATCTAACATGAGTAAAGTGTTACTAGGTGAGTGAAATATTAAATGCATCAAAGTCATCAAGCCATCATTTATCTATGTGTTTATCTCTTCAACAGAAATTTGCTAGCATTAAGAAATTGTGAGCATTGTTATGTAAGCTCTTTTTCACTGAACTAACAGTTCAAGAGAAAATTGTTCTCTTGCTTTTTAAATGAGAGAGGTAGATCAAGAGTGAGATAAGCATTTATTATTTAAGAATAGTAGAACTTAATGACAGACCATGAGCAGAGAGTCTATTCAGGAAGAAGAGGGAGGGACAAAAAGAGGGAAATACTTAGACTTTTTCGGGTGTTTCGATATATATTTTTTAATCTGCAAGGACAAATAACAATACCTTTGAGAAAATTATTGGACAAGTTACAGGCAAAAGTTCTAAAACAATGGCTGGAAATGTATTAAAAATATTTATTGTGTATTTTCTTGTTCATATTATTTTTGATTCATTATTGCTTTTTCCAATAGAAAACCAAATTTTCCATGAAGTAATAATTTTTCTGGGTAAAAAAATTATGAAATGCTTTTAAATTAGTATTAATAGTTTAATTAAATTGTTTAAGTAAAATTTGTCATTTTAAAATGTTAAAGCAGCATTTTTTTTTCTATTTTGAAACTATGCTATTTATAATTCAAATTCAGATTTTTTTTTTTGAAACCGTGTCATTTTGTTTAGCATTAAGCTTAACAAAATGTGGTACTAAGATTTCAAATAGAAGAGAGCCCTAGATAGATGGTGTATCAGTCTGTTTTCACACTGCTAATAAAGACATACCCAAGACTGGGTAATTTATAAAGTAAAGCGGGTTTAATTGACTCACAGTTCCACATGACTGGGGAAGCCTCACAATTATGGTAGAAGATGAAGAAAAAATCCACGTCTTCCATCACAGCATGAAAAGAGAGAATGAGAGCCAAGTGAAAGGGAAAACACCTTATAAAACTATCAGCTCCAGGACTGCAGGCGGAGCTGCCCACCAGTCCCGAGCCACGCCGGCACTCTTCAGCCCTTGGGCTGTCAATGGAACCAGGCGCCACGGAGCAGGGGGCGGCGCCCATCGGGGAGGCTCGGGCCACGCGGGAGCCCACCGCAGCGGGAGGAGCTCAGACACATGGGTTGCAGGTCCTGGGTCCTGCCCCGCCGGGAGGCAGGCAAACCCGGCGAGAATTTGAGTGCAGCGTCTGCAGGCCGGCACTGCTGGGGGACCCTGCACAACCGGCAGCTGCTGGCCTGAGTGCTAAGCCCCTCACTGCCCTGGGCCGGCGGTGCCGGCCGGCTGGCCGCTCCGTGTGCAGGGCCCGCCGAGCCGGCACCCGCCGGAACTCACACTGGCCCACTAGCACAGCCCCGGTTCCTGCCCGGGCCTCTCCCTCCACACCTCCCCACAAGCAGAGGGAGGAGGCTCTGGTTCCAGCCATCCCAGAGAGGGGCTCCCACGGTGCTCTGGCAGGCTGAATGGCCCCTCAAGCGCCACCAGAGTGGACGCTGAGGCCGAGGAAGCGCTGAGAGTGAGGGCTGCTAGCACTTTGTCACCTATCAATAGAATGAATTATTTTCCTCTGAGTATATACCCAGTAACGAGATTGCTGAGTTCAATGGTAGTTCTAAGTTCTTTGAGAAATCTCTGAACTGCTTTCCACAGTTGATGAACTAATTTGTATTTCCACTAACAGTCTAAAAGTATTCCTTTTTCTTTACAGTTTCGCCAACTTTCATTGTTTTTTAACTTTTTAATAATTGCGTTTGTGTCCTTTGTAGGGACATGGATGCAGTTGGAAACCATCATTCTTAGCAAACTATCACAAGAACAGAAAACCAAACACCGCATGTTCTCACTGATATGTGGGAACTGAACAATGAGATCACTTGGACTCGGGAAGGGGAACATCACATACCGGGGCCTATCATGGGGAGTGGGGAGGGATTGCACTGGGAGTTATACCTGATGTAAATGACGAGTTGATGGGTGCAGCACACCAACATGGCACAAGTATACATATGTAACAAACCTGCACGTTATGCACATGTACCCTACAACTTAAAGTATAATAATAATAAATAAATTTAAATAAAAAAAAGAAAAAGCAGAGCATGGTCAGGAACGGCAAACTTATGTGTCTTGGGAAAAGTAGGCAATGTGTTTCAGTGGTTGAAGGGTATTAAGAGCCGTAAAAAAGATAAAACAAGAATTAAGAAAAAAATCTTACATAGATTTTTCTATTTTTACACTTTTACACAGCTCTGTAGCCTCAATAATTCCAATAAGAGTTCTGAATTCTGCTAGAGTAATGTCTAATTTATGATACATTTTTGAAAACTATAAAATTTTTAAATTTAGAAAAATTTGTAAATTAAATGTTTTAAATATTAAAATGTGTTTTGAAAAAAAAAAATTGCCATTCTGATTTGTGTAAGATGGTATCAAGTTGCGGTTTTGATCTGCATTTCTGTGCTGATTAGTGATGTTAATTTTTTTTTTCTTATGTTTGTTGGCCACTGGTATGTATTAAGAAATGCCTGTTCACCTCCTTTGCCCATTTTTTCATTGAACCTTTTATCCCTCATCAACTCTTTTCTTTTTTAATTGAATTTTTAAATGGATATAAATTGTATATGTTTATTGTATACAAATATCCACTTTTTTATTCTTAATACACTTGCCACTCTCTGGCATGGTCACTATTTATTTTTTTAAGTGCAGTCACGTGCTGTATAACAACATTTCAATTAATAACATACCACATATAGGACAGTGGTCCTGTAAGATAATAATGGAGCTGAAAAATTCTTATCTTCTAGTGACATTGTAGCCATTCTGACATTTCAGTTCAAGGCATAACTCACATGTTTGTGGTGATGCTGGTATAAACAAACCTACAGCACTGCCAATTGTATAAAAGTATAGCACATGTAATTGTGTATATTACATAATACTTGATGATAATAAATTACTGTCACTTGTTTGTATATTTATTATGTTATACTTTCTATCATTATTTTAGTGTTAAACTTTGAAAAGTTATACTTTTCTGCTTATAAAAAAAATTAACTGTAAATCAGCCTCAGGCAGGTCCTTCAGGAGGTATTCCAGAAGAAGGCATTGTTGTCATAAAATATGACAGCTTTATGCATGTTATTGCCCTTGAAGATTTTCCAGGGCGACAAGATGCGGAGGTGGAAGACAGTGATATTGATAATCCTGACCCTGATTAGGCTGAGGTAAATGTGTATTTTTGTATCTTAGTTTTTAGCAAAAAAATTTAAATATTAAAAAATATATAAAAATGTTACAAATACACAAATAATAAGGATATAAAAATAATCTTTTTTTACATCTGTACAACGTGTGTGTGTTTTAAGATGTGTTATTACAAAACAAACGTTAAAAACATAAAAAGTTTATAAAGAAAAATGTTATACTAAACTAAGATTAATTTATTGTTGAAGAAAGAAAAATGTCTAAATAAATTTAGTATTGACTCCATGTACAGTGTTTATAAAGTATACAGTAGTGCCTGGGCCTTCATGTTTCCTTACCACTCACTCACTGTCTCACCCACAGCAACTTCCAGTCCTGCAATCTTCATTCCTGGTAAGTATCCTATACAGGTGTATCACATTTTTTATACCATATTTTTACTGTACCTTTTCTAGATTTAGATATTTTTAGATGCCCAAATACTCACAATTGTATTATAATTGCATACAGTATTTAATACAGTAGTCTGCTGTATAAATTTGTAGCTTAGGAGCAATAGGCTATGCTGTATAGCTTAGGTAATAGGCTCTCCTATCTAGTTAGTGTAATTATACTCTACAGTGACAAAAATGCCCAAGAACACATCAGAACATATCCCCTTCGTTAAACAACACATGACTATATTATGATTTTTGTTATAGAATTCTCAAATATATTATTGTACCGTGATTTCTTCCTAAAACATGACATGGTATTTAATGTCTTCCCTCAATAAAAGACAAAGAATTATACTAAGAAACCATCTTCTTCCAACTTCCCTTCACAAATTTCATAGTATACCTTTAATTTTAATTCACCCCTTGACTTTTATTTGATCACAAAGATTATTAATAAGCTTTTTACTTTTAAAACAAAATCTCTGCTTTATTATCTACAAAATTTAAAACTTACTCTTTGATTGCTGTTCAGTAAGGTAACGGAAGCCTTATGTTCCCCATTAATTTCTATCTTCCATTGCAAATATGTCAGCTGTACTATTATATTTATAATTAAATATATATAATAGTTACATTACCTTTATATATCTTTTTATAAATTTTATTATTTTTATTCCGAGAATAGAAAATCAATTTGAAAGATTTTAATATTATTTTAACTTAATATTTTAAATATTACTTTTAATTTTAATATTGTATTTACATTTTGCGCAATCAGGCAAATTCAATTGATCTATCACAAAAGCCTTTTATTAATATCATTCAGAGAGTGTCTTAAGCATTGAGATCTAACAGATTATATTTTCTCACACTTCATTGATTGTTCAAAATAGCTTAATGCTGTTCCTCACTTCCCCATCCATGATTTCTTCTTTTTGCCCGTTTTTCTAATCATTAAATAATCATGAAGATGCCAAAGATCATCCAACTTTAAAAACTTCTACTGATTCTGCCATATGAATCTGCTATTTATGTTTGCTATGCAGCTATCATTTTATGATTCTTATTGAACTGTTGTGTTGAACTTAGACACCCTTTTGTCCTAAGGACCAGTTATTTGTGTAACGAGAAATAAGAAGTATATATGAATCATTTTTTCCTAAAATAATATTAATTTTATATTAACACAATTGCTAATCAAAACAACTAACATGATTATTAACATGATATTAATACAATTAGATTCTTATTCAATAATTTAATTCTGATTCAATAATCTTGTATTTTTTAATCAAATTTATAATACCAACAAGCACCAAATTCTCTTAAGGATTAAAAAACGATCTCTGGTGATCTGAAATATCCCAGTGATATAGGTGGGTATTTTGTTTTATTCCTATTTCTAAAAATCATGGGTTTATCCTATTCTTGCTTTTGTGAACTTAGTGTATGTACAATCTTATTTTGACCCCTGTATTTGAACATTCCTTTGAGATTTCCCCATCTTGGTATTTTTACTCTAGTTAAATGCATTTTCTCCGGTTTTCCTTCCAGCCCTTCTTTTCCTTGTCCTTTAGTTTGTTATTAATAACATCTTATCTCTGAATATATTTTAAAATATGTTTTTTAAAAAATCATGAATGTTACTGAAAATTCAGTAACTTCGTCAACAAAAAAGTGATACCAGTAGGGCACAGTGGCTCACGCCTGTAATCCCAGCAATCTGGGAGGCCGAGGGGAGTGGATCACCTGAGGGCAGGAGTTTGAGACCAGCCTGGCCAACATGGCAAAATCCGTCTCTCCTAAAAATACAAAAATTAGCTGGGCGTGGTCTCATGCACCTGTAGTCCCAGCTACTTGGGAGGCTGAAGCAGGAGAATCACTTGAACCCATGAGGCAGAGATTGCAGTGAGCTGAGATCACACCAGTGCGCTGCAGCCTGGGTGACAGAGCCAAGCTCCGTCTCAAAAAAAATAAAAAATGTAAATAAATAAATAAATAAATAAATAAACCATGTTTCTCTATAGGAAATTTTAATATTAAAAAGATAGAAATTCCCTCTGAGTTAATTGATGAGTTATTCAGTTCCAGTAAATATTTTCACTTTGATTTTAAGAGCTGAGGAAACTGATTGTAAATTTTATTCAGAAGAATTATTTAAAAGAGTAGTTAGGAAATTCAGAAAAGCAATGTGGGGAAGCCAACCATACCAAGCTTTTAAATATAATAGAAGTCTGTATAGTGAAAGTAGTTTAGTATCAACATCAGAACTGACAGGCATACCAATGAAATAAGATAGAAAACCCAGAATCAGATAAATTATATTTGGAAATTCAGTGTACGCTAACAAGGCATCTCAAATCAATGAGGAAAAGATAACTGATGTTTTGATAACTGGGTGGATCTAGAAGGAAAAACTGGATCCATGTCTCATCTCTTCATTAGCATATATTGTAAGCAGATTAATATATAAATGTATAAAATTTCAGTTACAAAGTTACTATAAAAATTAGTAAATAAGTGAATTCTTAGTAATGCACAAGTAGTAAAATTTAATAAGTATTCACAATTCAGCACAGTAATGGGAAATATAAATTTGATTATACTAAATATTTCATCACAAAAACACCATTGATAAGAATGACAAATCACAAACCGAACAATAAAATTGCAACTTCTTTAAAAGAAAATGACTGTTAAACTTATAAAGGGCTTCTAAAATTAATCAGGAAAAAAACCAACAACGTATCATAATAAAAGAGCAAATGGTATGAATATTAAATGCCAGAAAAAGAAATGTCAGTGGCTCTTACACATATGACAATATGTTCAACTTCAATAATAATAAGAGAAAAGCAAATAAAACTTCACTTGAATATCTTTCATGATCTCTCAAGCTTTTACAAATGTGAAGGTTGAAGTTGTAGATCACAAGGACATTTGTATATCACTATGGAAATGCAAACTAGCATATCACTCTTTAGTGGGGATTTGGCAATGTTTATCAAAATTGTACATTCCTTTATCCTTTGAACCAGCAAACCTATTTCAGAATCCTGGGAATCTATTCAAAGTTAAATTGACAAAAAATAGAAAATGACTTATGAACATTCATTTCAGCATTACTTAAAATAGCAAAAGACCAGAAACAACCTAAATGCTGTTTAGGTTGACTGGTTGGATAAATTACGTTGCTTAGGAAACGGAGTAAACAATTAAAAATCAAGAAGTATGCTGTACTGCTGGAAAATGGAATAAACTCCATAATTTACTAAGTAGTTAACTCCAAAATATATTGTTCAATGATGAATGCAATATAGATAAAAGTATGTATAGTGTACTACTGTGAAACGAAAATAAATCTTGGGGCCCCCAAATCACTAAGCTGAAGGGAAAAGTCAAGCTGGAAACTGCTTAAGGCAAACCTGTCTCCCATTCTATTCAAAGTCATCCCTCTGCTCACTGAGATGAATGCATATCTGTTTGCCTCATTTAAAGAGGCTAATCAGAAACTCAAAAGAAAGCAATCACTCTTACCTACCTATGAAATGGAAGCCCCCTCTCAACTTCGAGTTGTCCGCCACATTTCCAGACTGAACCAATGTACATCTTACACATATTGATTGGGGTCTCATACCTCTCTAAAATGCATAAAAGCAAGCTGTGCTCTGGTCACTTTGGGCACATATCATCAGGACCTTCTGAGTTGTGTCATGGGCGCGTGTCTGGAAACTTGGTGAAGTAAATTTTCTTTGTCTTTTCTTTTCTTTTTTTTTTTTTTGAGACGAAGTCTCGCGCGCTGTTGCCCAGGCTGCAGCGCAGCGGCGCGATCTCGGCTCATTGCCAGCTCCGCCTCCTGGGTTCACGCCATTCTCCTGCCTCAACCTCCCGAGTAGCTGGAACTACAGGCGCCTGCACCATGCCAGGCTAAGGTTTTCTTTTTTTTTTTTTTTTTTTTTTGTATTTTTTAGTAGAAATAGGGTTTCGCCGTGTTAGCCAGGATAGTCTCCATCTCCTGACCTCGTGATCCACCTGCCTCGGCCTCCCAGAGTGCTGGGATTACAGGCCTGAGCCACTGCACCCGGCTGGAGAAATGAACTTTCTAAATTAACAGAGACCTGTCTTAGATTTGGGGGATTCACATTTTGGTAATCCCAGAGGAATTCTGGGTGGAGATGCCCCTGACCTTTGACAAGTCTATCAGTGCTTGGTACCAGTGTAACGCCTAAGGTTCTTGCCTAGCCATGCCAAAGAATTGGTGTGGCGGCTGCCCTCCGTGAGTGATAGAAACACGGAGCGATAGAGAGAAAAAGCTGTAGGCTTTATTGGGCGGAGCTAAAGTACAAAGCTTCTACAGCGTGGAAGGGGTCCTGAACTGGTAGGCACTGTTGGTTTTGGGTGATTGCCTTTTAAACTCTTTAAGGCAGGAAATACGTGCGGCAGGAAGATGTTACCGGAATGAGAAACAAAGACAGTAAATTATTTTGTCATATATCTTAGATTTTGAGGAAAACCAGAATTGCAACTTCGGTTTTATCTACTTTGTGACCTTGCAGCAGCATGGCAAAGGAGACAGAATCTTATAGGACTTAACAAAGTATGTTTACAAGGAATTGGAATAGGGAGCATAGATAAGGTCTGCTGGTCGCAGAAAAACGGGAAGTTAACATTTCTTTTACTTTAGTTTCCGCGGATGGGGAAGGGAGAGAGAACACAGGGAAAGTTACAGCAAACTTTTAGCTGTTTATAGCTTTCTTGAAGGAGAAAACACATGCACAAGTCCTGGTGTTAAGAATATTTTAAGCATATATCTTCAATATTATTCATCCAGGACTGACGTAAGTCCTGATGCAGGAAATAAGTGAGTTTCACAGCTTTCTGAGCAGGGACTTCCTACTCCACCCAGGAAGCCCAGTTGGCACCTCCTCTCACCAGCGTGAGCTAACTTTATGGTTCAAACCAGTGGGAGAATTTGCAGAGGTCTAGGAGCACCCCCTCCAGAGAATCTCTGATCTCCAAAAATTTGGTCAAGATCTAAAGTTTATTTTGCTGTACACCTCCCTTCTATTTTGGAGTTTTACTTGCTCCAAACAAGGAAGGCAAGATTTCCTGTATCCATCACAGTGGAAAGCAGGTAACTTCTTTATGGCATTTGAGCTCCCCCTTAGCAGAGAAGATGAGTTTGTGTTTTGTTTTTGTTTTTGTTTTTGTTTTTGTTTTCCTGCTTCTAGAATGGGAGAAAGCAGTCTTCAGCCTGAGACCCATCCCTAGGTAAGTACCTGAATTGGAGTTTTGTCTTGGCTAAAGTTTAACAACCAGTTGCTATTAATTTCTACTTACCATTAGAGCACTCAGTGATCATATTGTTGAGTTTTTACTGTTGTTGTTTGTTCTGGATTTTCACCCACCAGATTTGACCAATTTTACCTGATTTGGTCAAATCTGAGTGAGAATTCCAAGTTTTGGGTAACTAAGTTCCTGTAATTTGGACAACATTCCTCACAGCTGCAAAGGAGGGAAAACATGCACTTAGTTTCTGAGTTTCTGTTCCACCTTATACCTCCTACCCCTTTTGCCATCTGTAGTACCAAAACGCCTAGACTTGAACCCCTTTAAAGAATTCACCTGCTTGGAGATATTCTGTTTTCTTTGTGGAGTTTCAAGAGTCATGGGCAGATTCTTCTTAGGTCTAAAGCTCTGTTTTCCTGTATTGCATGACCTGGCCTCTTTGGCTTTGGGAGTCACAGAGATTACCTTGTACTGTGAGGGGATTTGAACTTGGCATGTGTAACGGCAGATGAGAGCTGCAGAGTAGGAGTGGCTGAGCAGGAGTTTAAATAAGGGGGTCTTGGCTGTTGTCTTTTCCTCTCTCCTACGAAGTTATTGTTTAAGGCTTCTAATTCTAGTTTGGAGATACATTCTAAGGGGTCTTCCCTAATGCTTTTTCTCCCAAACTACTCTCAGTTCAGCTTGTCTATGTGCATTGGTGTGAGGAACTGAACTGCTGCTTTCGTAGCAAAATGAGAGACTGAGTTTTCTCCTCTCCAAAGAGAAAGTACATTTGTTCCTCCCAGCCAAAAGGCACCCCTGGGTGACTGGGGGCCTCGTGGGAGTGTCTGGGTAGTTGATCCCCCACAATGTGCAGCAGCCCCACAGGGAAATCCCCAACAAAAATTAATTCAAAACAACAATAACAACAACAATAAAAAAACCTACTTGTCCAGGAAATGCATATAAGGGCTGATCACCTGCCATTTTGAGTCTTTTCTAAGGTCATAGACCTCTGGAGAGAGAAACTGAGACAAGTGAGAGGGTGGAAATGATTCAGTGTTGATACACTGTGGAGTCCTGCCCACAAGCAACACACATTGATCCGCACACAAAAACCCTGGGCCACAGCTCAATTCTTCCTTTTAAGAAAAAGAGTGGAAAATAATCTAAGCATGAGGAGAAAAAAAGGAGAATGACCCCCTTTCAAGCACTCCATAGGTTTTATGGTATTTCTACTTGCCAGAGTTTATGTAAAATGGAAGTAATATGGTCTTTGTGCACATTTACCTTAAAGTAAAAGAGCCCTAAGGTTGACCTGCAAACTATAGACTTCCTAAGTTATCTTTTTCTCTATTTTTCTTTTCTGCCTGCTTTAAATCTGCTGTTATTTTCTTCATTAAGATAAAAACCACTATTTGGTTCCAAAAGGTTCTTGTTGTAAGTTAGTGAATTTGTATTTATCTCATGGCTAAAGTTATGGAGTAAAAGATTTAGGATCTCTCTCTCTCTTTCTCTCTCTCTCTCTCTCTGTGTGTGTGTTCATAATTTCTATAATTTTATATTCAATTGGCAATTAAACCTATTTTAATTTCACTCTAGCACATCAGGATTTTTCTCACTGTACCTTATGATGTAAATTTTGCTCTTGGATTTTCAACTAAGTTATTTCCTTTAATATGCAAATTTGAGGCTATTTAGCTAACAACTACCTAGGGTAGTAAAACATGTTATCGAGACTTTGAAAGTTTAAGAAAAACAGTATATCATGAATCTATAAGATGTATTTCTATCAGCATGCCTAATACATTTATGTATTTATGTGTTGTGTATACAACATTTCACTACTGAAAAAAAGAACTCTAATTCATTGGCTTAAGGAAATAAAAGCACTTGAATCAAATACTTTATCAGGAAAAGGGAAAAAACTAGTCAAATGCTTTTTCAAGTTAATGTAACTTAAGTAAAATATTTAATAAATAAGCTAGACTTAAAATTATGGGTTAAGTAACGTTAGAAATGTCTTAAAAATTGCCAGCAGACATTGTTGTTTAAATTTAATCAAGCAATTTATTAGTTATTCTTGCCAAATAATATAATATGTCAAAATTTGGCATCAGGTTTACAAATGTATAATCTGAGCCCAAGGCAGAATGATCTTGGCTTGTGTAATCTTTAATAAACAAGACGTTGATATTGGTTTTATAAAAATAGCTACATCTTGCACTTAGTAAGATTACCACAACTTCTAATCTTGTGGCTTTAGGCAATCTAGTCCACAGGCAGTGAGGTTTATTTTAAGAAGGAACTGTTATTGTCTTTGTTTCAAACCTAAATTATAAATTAATTTACTCCCAAGGTTAGGTCAGCCTAGGCCCAGGCATGAACAAGAACAGCCTTGAGGTTAGAAGCAAGATGGAGTCAGTTAGGTCAGATCTTTTTCATTGTCTCAGCTCTAATTTTGTAATGGCAGTTCTATAATTTTAAATAATGACTATCACAGTTTTCACAAATTAGGTAGGTAAATGATTAAAATAAAACAATTAGGTAAATGTAATAGTATAAATACATGTAGAAAAACTAGTCATAATTTAGAATCTAAAGTTGTATTAAATTTAATTACACATATTTTATTATATGGATATTTTCCAATAAAATATATTATATATTATAAATACTTGATATATAATAAAATACATTATATATTATACATATCCAAATTATTTTATATATTATAAAATGTATTTATAAATATTTAGGAAACATTCTTTCTAAAAAAAGTGTGTCCTTTTTATAAAGGGGAACCAGTTTTTTCTATTTCAAAACTTATTTAAAGCTAGGTAAAAACTATGTGAAAGAAACCAGAAAATAAGAGAGACGTAAAGAAAATTTTTAAAATAGTGATTTTTTGGTAAGAAAGCTTAAAAAGAAATAATTTTATATGAGAAACAATATTATATGGTAGATTTATTCCTATAATAAAATGATTGTTTAAGAAAGAGATGTTCAGGACAAATAAAAGAGTTCAAACATGTCATGAAGTATCTGTGTAAGTCGTAAGCCACAATAAGAGGATTTATTTTTAAAAAAAAGAAACCAACAAATACATTTTCTTGAGGAATCGATTTACTCTTAATAAATTAGAGGAGATTTTAATTTTTATTTTTTACCCAAGTTTAACTTTTATTGTATCTCGCCATTTTCAGGTTTTCTCCCCTTTTTAAGGGTGCAAAATGATGACATTCTCCTTCAACTCATTTTCAGCTCATGTAAGTTTTTTTCCCTCAATTTCTGTTTGTTGTGGTCTGATACTAACAATGCTTTCTTAAATGCCCAAAGGAAATGTTTTCTTCAACATAATATTCTGTGAAGTACAGATGGTTTTTTTCTCTGAAAGTTGGGTGAAAAATCAAGCATTTTTCTGTCTTTGTTTTGTTTCAGGGTGTTGATGAGAATAGTTTTTCCTATTTAGGAATCAAAAATAATAAGTGCATAAAGAATGCCAGAATTAGAAAATTAATACATTTTAACAACAATAAATGATGGATACAGAAATTAATCATTAATGTTATATAAACCATTTACTGAAAGGTTGGCACAGTGAAACTGCATGAAATCATTAGCCAGTCTTTATATCACCAATGGAGGGACAAATAAAAATGATGGAACAAAGAATCGACTATAAATTTATCTTATCAAAACAACAAAAGCAAAGAATTACTTGGATCTAATCAAGTCTCCACATGCCTATTAAGAGGAATAGGGATGAATTGGGAACATACTAAATTACATGAGAATATAAAAGAAAAATTTTAGATTGTAGAAATCCGTCCACATTTACAAACATATACAATTTTTTTAACAAATAAATGGCATGGGGAAAAAAGGTCATGGAGAAACAGAGCACTTGTAATATAATGAACTCTGTGAGACATAGCAACCAAACACAACATGTGTTCTTTTCTGAAACCTGGTTTGAGAAAACAATGGTAATACATATTAGATAAAAAACTGATTTGAGATAAAATATGAAGGTTGTTTCTTTGGCATCCCAATATCCACTCTAGAAGCAGTGGACTCCTCAAAGAAGTGTGTTCACCTTCTTTTGAGAGTATTTCTCTGATTTTACCCTAAGGATAATTTTGATTTTGACTGCGCCTTCGATTAATCACCTTGATTTCCATCTTTCCTTTTTTCCATAGTGTCCATGGTGCTCAAAATTTGGGAGCTTTGCTCTAAAATAGAGCTGCTAAAATTTTGTGAATGTGCCTTATATGGGATCTCCTGCAATGGATTATTAATCAATATAATTCCAATTTTCTCAGAAATTTATCAATATTGCTCCACTGATACTCCCTATTACTTTCAAATATTTTAGAAATGTAGTTGCTATGAAAATTTTAAATCTATCATTTCAATTGCAAAAGAAATGGCATGAATGAGTTATGCTTAATCTATCATGTGTAACTCAAAGTCTCATACAATATTTCCAGTTAGTTATATTTTTATTAAGTGTATCCACAATTCTATATATAAATTATGTATCTGGCTACCATACAAAAGTTATTTTAAATTTTGCATTTTGAATTTCTCAGTTTTTCAACTTATTTTCTAAAAAGCAGTGATGAAATTTCTTCTTTCAATAAGAGTTGCTTGGATAATGTTCAAAGATGGCTGTCATCACTTCCTCTCTTCTCTTTGTACATATGCCCTCACTCATATGAAGAAGCATTTCCTTTCTCTATTCTGGAAATCAGCTGCCATGTAAGAAATGTACCATCATGAGACACCATAGTATGAGCTAGGGCAATCTAACTGCCACATAGAAAAGTTACCTTATGGAGAGAGGGGAAAGACCTGAATAACCTCCAGTTGTTTCTGCTCTTCCATATAAAGCACCAGACACGTGAGTGGAGGAGCCGTCTTGGATATTCTAATCTCAGCAGTCATCATGAAGAGCCAAGTGCAATCCAGATTGAAGAATCTGGGAAATAATAAATTTA